AATTTTCAAACCTATGACGATTTCATTAATGTATATTGAATTATTTAAATACGCGCTGTTCATTTTATTATGTTTTAATCACTTGCGGCCATAATTAAATATTTCTTATAATCATATAATTTACTGTTATAACTTACATTTTGTCATGTTTTTCAATTTTTGCACTATTAAAATATATATAAACAATGTATTTTTGCCTGATTCTAAAGTATTAAAAGTCGACGCTATGTTTCCGTAGACGACACTCCTTGTTATTATGTATATTAAACGGAAGAATTTGTAAGTTGGTATGTTTTAATTTAACATTAACTAAATATTTAACTAAATATTGAAATAAAATATTTTTGGCTATCTTTATATCGTATTATAAATCGATAATTGATATTTTGTCATTTCTTATCATGATTTTTTCTCTGGAGAACCTTGTGTTTGTATAAATAATATATAATTAGGTCATTATACATTTACAACGTTTATTCAATTTTAATGACAAAATCCATATGTGCAATATATACATATATTTCGAAAGTTCCCGACAAAGAAACAATTTTCTACGCGTGCACGACAAATCTCAATAACTATTTTTGTTCAAAATACAATCTCACTCATGATTTACGCCTACAATTCAGATAAAAGCAGGCACTGAAAATATTGATGTATTTTGATGTTCTATGTGTGTTAAAATGTGCATTTTTCATTACCGACTATATATGCAACGATCGTTTTTATATTAATTATGAATTAAAACTGATATTGTATGATTAATTCTGACAAGCAATTTTAACGTAAGAACAATTTTTATAATCTCTCCTTCTGATAGAAGAGATATAATTATTGCTGGCTAATCATAAGACATTCAAATTTATAAACTGGCCCGGTTGCTGCGAAGTAACTCTCATGAAAACACACACATATATATAAACAGTATTTAATGTTTATTTGGGAATACGTCCCGATAGACATATATTAAATTTATACACAGTACAGGCCAGTAAAGTTCGTATTAGTAAAGTCAAAGGCGATTATACATACACGCTTTAACGTCGTTCCGTTAAAAAGAAACGAGATTAATAGGAATTACAAAATAAATTCTTGTCACGATTATCTTTTAACAATAAGTATCTGTGCACATTTCTGATTCAAAACAGCAAAATCTAAACACATTCGAATAAAATCGTCAAGTAAAAGAGGTAACAAAAAAATCTAGAGTTAAACGAGTTATACGAACAAAAAATCAGCAGGTACGTACAAATAAGACACAGATTAAAAAGAATCCTGTAAGAAAAGATAAATTATGTGGAAATTATTTGTATTGCATATATTTTTTGCTATATTTAATATATATTGTAATATTTTTAAAACTTTTCCACAATTTTGATTAAAACAATAAAGTAAAAAGTACACTTTGTCTTAAATTTTATCAAGAAAATAATACATATAATGCGACAATATTCTGTTTAATATTTTATAATCTTTGAAAATTGACAATATCAAATATCGCTGAATAATTTGTTAAATAAAAATAGTAAATAGCTGATCAAGGAATAACCGTAAATTTTTCAAAAAATAATTTAAAAATTATATAGAAAAATATAAACAAACAAATAGGTCGAACACATTTTTATATCTTCGAGGTTTTAATTGTTTTGAAGTATATCTTGCATTGTCATGTGTTAGTGACATAAATATATATATAAAGAATTTCTAGTGATATAAAAATCAGTAATTATAATATATTAGTGTATTAAAATTCACAAGATTAAGAATTTGATTTTCTCTACGCCTGTATTTGTTTGTTCATAAATGAGTCTTTTAATAGATATATAATTTCAAATAATAAAGTACATGAGTAAAGATACATGATTATAAACTGTTTTTCGTCATTTTAGCTTTTTGTTTATTTTTTATAATAAATAAATATTTGTTCTATTTCTTTTATTATAAATACAACAATTAAAAATTTCTTTTATTTCAAAAAGAGACTCAGATCGATAAACTGAAATTTTTATATTTAGAACGAAAATATTTTACATAATACATAATGTTTTCCATTAATTTTATGATTATTTATTATATTGTAAATAATACATTAAAAGATGCTGGTAGATAAAAACGTTATTCGACCACATTATTCAACAAAAGAAAAATTCCTTTAAGAATTTTAACTTTAGTATTTAGAGAAAGTAGAACATATATGTAGTTTACTACTTAAATACTTATTATAAATTATTAAAATTATGTTTTATAAATTCTCAAACATGACTAGTTTGACGATTTATTTGTTTTTCTGTCCCGTTTTTAACTACATTAATATAAATATGTATTTCTAAATTATCAAATTATTAAGTATTTTTATATGTTAACAGGCCATTACTAAGCTAACGTTCAAATGTTATTTGATATTGATTCATCACTAATTTCTACGTGATAACAATTATATTGTAAATTAGTCTTTTATTATTTAACTAATTTTACTTATAACATTCATCTGTGTCTGTTCTAATAACAAATGATTTTTGTATCACTATTTTTGTTTCTTTATTTTTTCTATTAATATATGAATCATAATTTTTAACTCAGCAATTGATATATAGAATCAAAAAGTTTACTTTTATATTTATATCATTTTGGCATTATTAAATTCCTCCTTCTCGATTACAATTATTTAATATTATTAATTATTTTGGCATTTTAATAGTCTTTTTTTTATAAGAAATAATGAAAAAGGAGGTGCGAGGTGCCGTTTTTAAAAGTTTACCTAGCAGCAAATTTTATATTCATTTCATCAAAACATTTTTTTTCCTAATAAATAAGAAATACATTTTTTTACAATATAATTGTTTTTATAAAACATAAACACCTATATCTTTGAAAATTATTTCTATGTGTAATACGTATAACTATTATTCATAAAAATTTATTCTAAATGTATAATTGTTTGGGCGAGCGTGGCTTAGCTCGATAATTACTTTTCGGCCCAAAATCGCGAATCGGGAGAGGATCGTTAAGACGGAATAGTTATTAGGTGTTATAATTATATTGTCTTTTACTGCGTTTATTCGGATTATCAAATACAGACTTTTACTCTCCACCGAGGAAAACCGTGTATCGCGAGCGCGAGTCAAAATCTATCTCCCCTTCGAGGCCGCGCATTGTCTTGTTTCTCTCGATTTTTCCACGACCTTATTTTTATTTTTAGGTGATTAGCCTATCTATTATTTTGAAGAACTTTCGCTTTTTATTCTGTTCGGAAATCACAATCTACCTTCGTCATGCTAGACGCTTATTTATTTATTTATTATTTCGTGTCACCGGTCGCGATATCCTTAACTCTCGTCGCTTGTCATATATTTTTATTTCGTGTAAATTTTATTTTCTATATATTTTAATATGCTTGTGGCATTTATCGCCACAATTGTATACGTGAAAAATTTATCAAATAACGAAAATAAACAGTAAATTTAATATTATGACAATATGAATGTTTGTCTTTGATAGCATATCATCTTATTTTATGTTCAATTTGTATAATATTTATTATTTAATAATAATTGATACAACGTCGTACATTACATTGTTGTAATGAAGCTTTGCATTAAAAAGATTGTTCAATAATACATATATAGTTGTTAATTACTTTTTAATTTTAGATTTCAGGTTAACCACGATTAAACAACTGACCATAATTGCTCTAGAGTGTTGCAATATACTCGCCGGAAAGCACAGTAATCAAATGAATTTATAAATACTATTCTCAAAATAAATTTGTTGGTAAAAAAGAAAGTCACAAGCAGGACGAAGATATGCAAGACGGAGGTGCCGGTCCCTCCAGACAAATGGATTCCGATCCAACTGGACAGCCGGAAACGTATACATGCCATTTCTGTGCACAGACATTCGATTCTTGGAACATTTATTGCAATCATTTATATTACCACAGCTTAGAGAATCATCCTTGCTACGCTTGCGAATTAAAATTATTTCTAAGTCAGATTTGCGTGAACATTGGAATTCGGTACATCCGGATGTTCCTATAAAGTGTGGAAAATGCGAAAAAGTTTTCGCACATTTTGACTCCCTTGTACGGCACGTAAACAAATATCATAATAATGGCAAGAAAGATTCTAAAACGAAACAGAAAAGTAAAGAGAAGAAATGCGACAATTCTGACGCGGACTCAAAAGGTTTGTCTCGACAACTTTAATTTTTAGTGTAAAATTAGCTAGAAAATGAGTTGTTTTTGTAATATATACATTATTATATATTCTTGTTCTAATAATATGCAAATGGCAGAAGATTTAATTACAACGACAATTCTTTAAATAATTAAACAGCGCAGCGATTATAAAAAAAGAACATGATTTTATTATAAAACATAAAACCGCTATAGACATGTATTAGCATTGTAGAAAATTGACATGTTAAACAATACGAAAAATATGTATTCATTCTTTTATATTAATGCTAAGTTTTTTTTACTTTTATTTGTGTGTAATTCTTTTGTATTATAAAACTTCGCAAGAAAAACAAAAAAGTCAAAATAATGTCAATTTTACGTCATATTGACTACGAATGACTTTTTATACTAACATTTTACCTGTTTAATTTTTAGAAGATAATTAAAGGTTACCGTTTTTCATATTCAGATATTATTGTAGTTTGCAGAAAAGTTGAGTGATCGTACACAGAGAAAAAATGTTGTTGATTCAATTGAACGTCGACGTCACGAGCTGCCCCAAACATATGCAGTTGATTTATCAATAGATTGTTAATTCAATGACATAATTAATCAAATCAAGATGTCATGCTTTTGTTTATACTGCATATGTTTAAACAAAAAATGTTTGTGGCAGCTCGTGACGTCGACGTTCAATTGTGTCAACAACATATTTTTCTCAGTGTTTTAAAAATTATATTGTTGACTAATATATTATTTTAAGCAGCTCACTTTTTAAAGTTGTATCTCAATTATTTTTAATACAAAATAATAATTTTTTTAGATGATAAGCAAGAGGAACGTCCTGGTCCCTCCAGACAAATGGCTTCCGGTTCAACTAGAGATAATATTTTTATTAGCACACCACATCCGAAAAACATTCAGAGATTATCCAGAGAATATCCAGAAAACATTCAATCATCCTCAGCATCTTCTCTGAACGTCTTCGGGATACGTGCACTGTTACGGACGCCAGACGAAAGTGTCGGTTCCTCCAGACAAATGGATTCCGATCCAACTGAACAGCCGGACAAGTATGTATGCAATCTCTAATTAAGACTATTCTGTCCTTTGGACGTGCTTCATAATCATTTATAGGTCCACATGAATTATCCTTGCAACCATTGCGACCTATAATAATCATTTGTAAATCCTATTTCAATGCACATACGCGTTCGACACGTAATGTTAATCGTTTTAAATGTGATATATGCAATTCAACTTTTTATGATCTTTTCGACTTTGAATGGCACAAAAAAAACACCATAGTGTAAGCAAAGAATCTTTAAAAAAGAAGAAACAGGAATACGACTTGTTGAGCCGTAAGAGAATGAAGTGCGAATTCTTAAAAAAAAGGAACAGAAGTTGAAGCGTAAGAAAAGGAAGCTCGAAGACTCTGACGCGGACTCGGAAGGTTTGTCTTAGCAACTTTAATTTTCTGTGTAAAATTGGCTACAAAATGAGTGGCTTTTGTAGTATATACATTATTATATATTTTTGTTCTAATAATATGTAAATGACGGAACATTTAATTACAACGACAATTCTTTAAATAATTGAACAGCGCAGCGATTATAGGAAGAGAACATGATTTTATTATAAAACATAAAACCGCTAGACAAGTATTAGCATTGTAGAAAATTGACATTTGAGACAATATTAAAAATATCTATTCATTTTTTTATATTAATGCTAAGTTTTCTTTACTTTTATTTGTGTGTAGTTTCTTTGTATTATAAATCTTTCCAAGAAGAACAAAATAATCAAAATAATGTCAATTTTACGTCATATTTACTAAAAATGACTTTTTATACTGACTTTCTTACTGTTTAAGTTTTAGAAAACGTGACATACGTTTCTCGATTGTGTAGATACAATGCTTATTATTATGAAGATAATTAAAGATTAACGTTTTTCATATTCAGATATCATTGTAGTTCGCAGAAGAGTTGAGTGATCGTACACAGAGAAAAAATGTTGTTGATTCAACTGAACGTCGACGTCACGGGCTGCTGCAAGCATATGCAGTTGATTTATCAGTATTTTGTTAATTCAATGACATAATTAATAAAATCGAGATGTTATGCTTTTGTTTATACTGCATATGTTTAAAAAAAATCATATTTGTGGCAGCCCGTGACGCCACGTTCAATTCTATCAACAACATTTCTTTCTCAGTCTATTAAAAATTATATAGTTGACTAAAATATTTTTTTAAGCAGCTCACTTCTTAAAATTGTATCTCAATCATTTTTAATACAAAATAATAATTTTTTTAGATGATAAGCAAGAGGAACGTCCTGGTCCCTCCAGACAAATGGCTTCCGGTTCAACTGGAGATAATATTTTTATTAGCACACTACATCCGAAAACATTCAGAGATTATCCAGAGAATATCCAGAAAACATTCAATCATCCTCAGCATCTTCTCTGAGCGTCTTCGGGATACGTGCACTGTTACGGACGCCAGACGAAGATGACGGTCCCTCTATACAAATGGCTTCCAGTTCAACTGGAGATAATATGCAAAGCGAAAGTGTCGGCTCTTCTAGACAAAGGGATTCCGATCCAACTAAACAGCCGGACAAGTATGTATGCAATCTCTGGTTAAGACTATTCTGTTCTTTGGACGTGCTTTATAATCATTTAAAGGTCCACATGAATTATCTTTACAACCATTGCGACCTATAACATTATTTGTAAATCTTATTTCAATGCACATACGCGTTTGACACGTAATGTTAATCGTTTCAAGTGTGATATATGCAAATCAATTTTTTATGATCTCTTCGACCTGAATGGCACAAAAAAACACCATAGTGTAAGCAAAGAATCCATAACAGCGGAGAAACTGAAGTACGAGTTGAAGCGTAAGCAAAGGAATCTCGAACGCGAATCCTTTAAAAAGATGAAACAGGAGTTAAAGCGTAAAAGGGAGAAGCTTAGATCCGACATCTCTGACGCGGACTCGAAAGGTTTGTCTCAGCAACTTTAATTTTCTGTGTAATATTGGCTACAAAATGAGTGGTTTTTGTAATATATACATTATTATATATTCTTGTTCTAATAATATGCAAATGACGGAAGATTTAATTACAACGACAATTCTTTAAATAATTGAACAGCGCAGCGATTATAGGAAGAGAACATATTTTATTATAAAACATAAAACCGCTTGACATGTATTAGCATTGTAGAAAATTGACATTTGAGACAATATAAAAAATATCTTCATTTTTTTATATTAATGCTAAGTTTTCTTTACTTTTATTTGTGTGTAGTTCCTTTGCATTATAAAACTTCTCAAGGAGAACAATAAAGTCAAAATAATGTCAATTTTACGTCATATTTACTAAAAATGACTTTTATACTGATTTCTTATCTGTTTAAGTTTTAGAAAACGTGACATACGTTTCTCGATTGTGTAGATACAATGCTTATTATTATGAATATAATTAAAGATTAACGTTTTTCATATTCAGATATCATTGTAGTTCGCAGAAGAGTTGAGTGATCGTACACAGAGAAAAATGTTGTTGATTCAATTGAACGTCGACGTCACGAACTGCCACAAGCATATGCAGTTGATTTATCAGTATTTTGTTAATTCAATGACATAATTAATCAATTCAAGATGTCATGCTTTTGTTTATACTGCATATGTATATAAAAAATCATATTTGTGGCAGCCCGTGACGGCCACGTTCATATGTATCAACAACATTTTTTTCTCAGTCTATTAAAAATAATATTGTTGACTAAAATATTATTTTAAGCAGCTCACTTCTTAAAGTTGTATCTCAAGTTTTTTTAATACAAAATAATAATTTTTTAGATGATAAGCAAGAGGAACGTCCCGGTCCCTCCACACAAATGGCTTCCGGTTCAACTGGAGATAATATGCGAGGCGAAGGTGTCGGTTCTTCGAGACAAAGGATTCCGATCCAACTGGACAACAGAGGACGCAAGTGCCGGTCCCTCTAGACATATAGATTCCGATCCAACTGGACAGCCGGAAACGGTCAAATGCAATATCTGTTTAAGAACTTTTCCGTCTGAGAACGTGCTTAAGATCATTTAGAGTACCACAAAATTACAAAGAATAAGTATTCTTGCAAATTATGCGGCTTAAGATTCATTTGTGATAGAGATTATAGAAATCATATTATTGACAAGACTGGACCTTTGAAGTGTAATATTTGCGGGAAATCTCTTGAGAATCTTCACTACCTTAACAAGCACAAAAGAAATTTCATTAACACAAAGAGGTAATAACAAAAAGTCACAAGTAGAACGAAAATGCATTATTTCCAATCAGCAATGTGATGAAGGCACCAGACAAGATATTAATGCCCCACAACAAAAAAGTGACGAATCCCCGGAACTTTTTCGAACATCTTCTCCTGTTCCGACCCTGGAGATTCCGAATTCAAATGATAATTGAAAGAGGATTTATCTCAACATCTTGATTTTATACTGCACACCAGATTGAGGAGAACAAAATTGAAGACGTTGAATCTATTGAACAATCCAAGGATAATCAGCAGCGCGATTACAGCTCCAGACAAAATATTTATGTAGCACAACAAGAGGCGATGAATCTTTCGGATCTGTTTCGGGCCTCTTGCAATACTCCTCTTCATTCGATATAAATATGACGATCCCGAACTTCTAATAAAGAATATTTCAAGTCTCCAACCTTAAAATTGACGCGCAAAAGCCGCAAGCATTGACAAATAGAATCGAGTTGGTCGAAGGCGAAGAAGTTCAACAGCAAAGTATACATTGCTAAAGCATTTTGCACAGCACCAATATGACAGAAATTGAAATGTAAAATTGCGACACGGATTTCAGTAAGCTCGACCAATGGTACAGATACAAATGTCAAAAACGAAGAAAATATCGCCAATAAAAAACCGTTTAAATTTTGGTGCAACAAAATTTTCCAACATGACAAAAATTTCGAAATTCACCTACTCGATTCTATCAAATCCGAGCCATATTTAAATGCAAGTGACCAGTTTGATTCGAATTGAATTCCGGATAATTTTAATTTTCTTCAATAAGTAAAAATCAAAAATTATTCTTCTACTAATGTATTAATGTAATCGCATAATGCAACTTGAGAAATATATTGATGTAGATAAACAAACATATATATATATATATATATATATATTTAAATTATATTTATATATAAATTTATATTTATTTATATATAAATATAACTATATATGTCTACAATTTTTACTTTCAATACTTAAAATCGTCTTTTTATTTTTGAATGTATCTCATTAACGTCTATCCTGCAATTTAAATATGATTTGTTTAAATATATATCTATATATATTTAAATAACATACTTTAAATATAGGATATCGTTAATTATGAGATACATAAAGAAGATAATTTTAAATATAGAAATGTAAAATTATACAATAAATTTTGTCACATAGAAAATTTTGCTCGCTCATAAATTAACATTAATAACATTATTAACTTGTTTTCTCTGTTTTAAATAAAGATAATCTTTAATAATATTAAGTTATTATAATGTAATTATTATATTATTAATCATTATTTTGTTGTTGTATCAATGATTAATTTGTTAATTAGTAATTATTGATTTATAATTCATGCAATATTAATGATTATTATAAATGTTATTACACTATCGTTTATGTATATAAAATTGGTATTATTAACAATAATAAATCGTATTATTAGACAATTGTACGTACAGATACATGTGCAGACGTGCACACATACATACCCGTTAGCCACAGTAATTAGTATGACATCATTTTGATGTCATAATAATTACTGTGGCTATCTGGGTATGTACAAACGTACACATACGACATAATTATAATTATTACTTTCTGACAACCAATAATTAAACAATTTAATTATTAACATTATAAATTTAATAATTATAATTAACGAGTATAATTCTCGCATAGAAGAAATTTTTAATTTATATTTCATATTATCGTTAAACTTTAATTTCTATGTAAATTGGTTACTAAATGAGTGATTTTTGTAATATACATTATTATTTGGTTGTAATATTTTTGTTCTAATAATATGCAAATGACAGAAGATTTAATTACGACAATTCTTTCAATAATTGAACAGCGCAGCTATTATAAAAGAACGTGATTTTATTATTTTAATATAAACATGAAACCGCTAGACATGTATTAGCGTTGTAGAAAATTGACATTTTAGGTAATACTAAAATATGTATTCATTCTTTTATATTAATGCTAAGTTTTTTTTCACTTTTTTGTGTGTGTAGTTTCTTTGTATTATAAAACTTCCCAAGAAGAACAGAAAAGTCAAAATAATGTCAATTTAACGTCATATTGATTAATTTATGTCATTTTTTGGTCATGGAAATCTCGATTTGGAATATGACTAAGAAAATGACTTTTAATATTGACTCTTATTACCTGTTTGATTTTTAAAAATGTGACTAACGTTTCTCTCTCTGTGTATATACAATGCTTATTATTATGAAGATAATTAAAGATAATGTTTTTCATATTCACATATCATGTAATTCGCAGAAGAGTTGAGTTATTGTATTAAAAATTAAATTGTTGACTAAAATGTTATTTTAATCGGCTCACTTTTTAAAGTTGCATCTCAATTATTTTTAATACAAACTAATAATTTTTTATTGTGACATCAAAATATCATCAAAATTTTATACAATTTGATGTCATTTTGACAAACTAGAATTTGACAATATTTTGACATGAATTTGACATCATTTTGACATATCTGTTCTCTTCGGGTTACCATGACATGCGATATTTCAGTGCGCAAATTATGTTTTTCTTCATTAATAAATATTGAAATAATAATTATAGTTATTAAATATGTATTAATAACAAATTTCGATATTCAGTGCGCAAATTATGTCTTTATCATAAATAGATAATAAAATAATAATTATAGTTACTAAATATATGTATCAATAACAAATTTCGATATTTTAGTGCGCAAATTATGTCTTTATTCATTAATAGATAATAACATAATAATTATAGTTATTAAATATATGTATCAATAACAAATATACAAAAAACAATCCTATTTTTGAGTAACATATTTGTAAATTCTCGGGTTCGATTCCCGATTCAGCCGACTTTCGGACCAATATTTTTCTCGTCTTTTTCTTACAGGGGATGTTAAGAGAAGGAACAAGGGGAATTTCTGAGATCCCAACCATAGGATTCAAATTCCTCAGTTTCCAAAAATTTCTAAATATTAATTTGTCGCAATAACATCGCGTTTGGCTCTTAGTCGAGATGAAGATGGAGTTTTTTAAAAATAGGAGAGCTGACTGACAAATATTCTTATTAATATTTGTAAATGTTTATACATATTTATTAAATGGTTAGAGATACTTCTCTAAACCAAATTGACTTATCATTTTATTAATTTGTACCGTGTTATCTTTTCTCTAAATGCGTTTTCTCAGTTGTGCATCGTAATCAATTAAGCTTTTAGCAGTATAAAAGATCGTAGCTTAATTTTTGTTTGGAATATATGATGAATCTTGATTTAATTAATTGATACATAAAATAAACTTCGAAATAAATCTAGGAAAAGCGGAATAGGCACGGAAAAACTTCCACGTATTACGTTTACGGTCAAAGTAAGAATCATTTATATGCGTA